CAGTGAACTCAGGGTCTTCTGCTCTTACTTTGCTTCCTTGTTCATGGCTAGCACTCTACCATTTGAGCCATTCCTGCAGCCCAGTTATCTGCTGGCTAATTGGGCATGTATTCTGGCAGACTTGTTTGGCCAGGGCTGACTTTGAATTGAGATCCTCCAAATCTCAGCTTTCTGAGTAGCTAGAAGATTTTAAGCATGAGCCATGAGTGACTAGTACTTTTTTTTCTTCCTTCCTACCTTTCCTTCCTTCCTTCCTTCCTGCCTTCCTGCCGAAGTTAAACACTTCTCTGGCTCAGTCCATCAGTTGGGGTCAGCAAAGGTGAAGCAAGCATGGAAATGGAAAGAAGAACTTTATTACTTTAAGGTTTGGGGAAGGTGGAAGGCTCCAGGTTGTAGCAGCTCTGATTTTGAAATGTCAGGGTACTTACAGGTTTGGGATTCAGTTTGAGGTCCTCACTGTAGATCAAGGCTAACTGGAAACATCTTATGATCTGTCCTTTTAGCTTTGAGTTCAGGCTTAACTTGGTTGCATTTGGTTCTGCTACTTACTACTTGAATTTCACTTTTTTTAAAATATGTGCCAGTCCTGGAACTGGCCTGGATGCTGTCCCTGAGCTTCTTTTGCTCACAGGCTAGTGTTCTACCACTTGAGCCACAGCTCTATCTCTGGCTTTTGGTAGTTTATTGGAGATAAAAGTTCTACAAACTTTCTTCCCTGGCTTGGCTTTAAACCGTGATTCTCAGAACTCAGCCTCCTGAGTAGGAATATCACTTTCTTCCTATGTAAATGACTATGAGTGGTGAGTGCTCCTTGGGTTATTTCAGTGATAAGATGAATAAATTGGTAACTACATTAGAGGTGTTCATCAGTTAGTTCTCTTTTCTCACTATCCAGTCTCCACATCCACCTCCTGTTCCTGGCTTATAACTACTTCTCAATAAGGGCACATCTATCTATATAGATAAAATGTGTTTAGATTGTAAAACTGGGCCTTTGATTTGTCTCTTGGTTGCATATCTTATGTTATTGCTGCAAGAAATGTATTTGGATGTGAATCTTCCACATTCAGTAATATAGTCTTAGATTTTTTTTTTTGGTACCAGTCCTGGGCTTGAACTCAGGGCCTGAGAGCTGTCCTTGATGTTTTTGTTTGCTTGTTTGTTTTTTCCTCAAGGCTACCACTCTACCACTTGAAGCTTTTTAGGTGGTTAATTGGAGATCAGAGTCTTGTGGACTTTCCTGCCTAGGAACTGGGAACAGGGATCTTCAGATCTCAGCCTCCTGAGGAGCTAGGACTATAGGCATTAGCCATGGGTGCCTGTCTTAGTTTTAGATTCTTATATGACTCATCAAGTCCTACCCTATCCAGGACACCAGGTATGGACTCCAGTCTTCCTGTAGCTCCTTATGTAGGTGTATTATTACCAGAAACCATCCACAATGCTGCCCAGTCATTTTAGTCTTTGCTTCTAGCAAAATGAATAGGATGAAAGAAAAGGAAGATCAAAACAAAGAAATGTGATTGTTTTTATGTTTTACCATCAAGAGTTCCCCTTTTAGCTGAAATGAAATCATTCAGATGAGGATAATCAAATTTAATTAAAAAGTCATGATTATTGATTTCTGAACTAAGCTAGGTTTTGCTTGATAATATCTACAAAAGTTATCAGCCACAGACAGCCATTCTTCATACCTTCAAATAGAGTAGATGTTTTAGAATCAATATACTGAGAGCTCTCTCTCTCTCTCTCTCTCTCTCTCTCTCTGTGCATGTTCTGGGGCTTGAACACAGGGCCTAGATGCTGTCCCTTAGTCTTTCATTCAAGTCTGGTGCCCCACTTCTGGCTTTTTGCTGTTTAATTGGAAATAAGAGTCTTATAGGACTTTCCTTCCTTGGCTGGTTTCAAACTATGATTCTCAAATCTCAGCTCCTGATTTTCTGGGATTACAGGTGTGAGCCACTGATGCCCAATGGCCAAACTTTGAAGGTTACATGAGATCTGTGTTTACAGCAAGGAAAAGGTGGTTCAATTATTCAACAAATATGTATTGGTTAATTACACAGCTAAGGAGCTTCTGACCTTCCTTTCCATCTCTGTAGTCTAAAGTCTAATAGAAGAATAAATAAAGTAAAAGAAAAGAAGTGCTTTTCTGTTTCTTCCTATTCTCTGCTACTTAATATTGGCCCCTGTCAGCTATAGCATCAGTGAAGCAGATCACTCTGCTGTCTGAGCCTGGTGAGTGAATCATGCACACCCCCCCAGTCACATGCTGTGCATTATTACTACTAGGCAGCCAAGGACATCAAGAGCCTAGGATTCATTGTGAAAACACCCTGCATACATGGAGTCTGTACTGTGCCCAATTTGTACCACATCTGAGCGGCCAATCAAAGCAGCCCACCCTAGATTTGTCATGTGACCCCCAGTTGCATGATTGCCTAGGCTGGAGTGTTGTGGACATTCTGCTTTGGGGAAGAAGGGGAGGGGAGAGGCAGAAGAGAACTCAACTTTTCCAGCCAGGGTCTTCCTGTCCCAGGATGCAACATCCCCACACATCCTACAGTGATTATTCCTTCTCCTTCTCTCCCCCTCCTCTTCCTCCTTCCCCTCCCCTTCCTCCTATCCCTCTTCCTCCACCATTTTCTTTTAGGCAATGTTGAGGTTTGAACTCAGGGTTGTGCTTACAAGGTTACAAGGCAGGTGTTCTTACCAGTGAGTGAGTGTGACTGGGGGCACCTCAAATGATTATTGAGAACTACAAAGAAGAAACAGAGTGCTGAATCAGCCCAAGACCACCCAACCCAAGACCACCCAGAAAATTGTTCTACACTGACACTACTTACTATACGGCAACCTCCACAATCACAAAACACTTTAAAAAATCAGCTGTAGTTGCTCTCCAGGGAGGAATTCATAAGAATTAGAATTGTCTTGATTCATCGCTTCCCAAAGTTTGGTCAGTCCCCTCAATATTTGCCTGGCTTTTCCTATTCACCAAGTTACTAATACTTTCTGTGGGTAGCACTTGGTAAAAAAAATACTTAGAATATCTTTGCTCACACATACGGCTTTTATTTACATATATGCATAACACACACACACCCTAAAAAGAGCTAGAAGGGAGGCAGTACATCAGGATGCAGTTTCGGCTATACTTGATTTAAACTCATTACAAATAACCCCAACAGCTCTGAAATACCCAGCAAAGATGTCATGAATTTTATGCACACATCAAGCCAGGATTAGGACTAACAGAATATTGGAATTAAAGAGATACCATTACTCATCATTCCAAAGCTATCATTTCACTCAGAAGGAAATTTAAGCTGTGTATGTGTGTGTATGTGTATGTGTGTATGTATGTATGTATGTATGTGTGTGTGCCAGCCAATACTGGGATTTGAACCTCCAGCCTTGTGCATTCCCTTAGCTATTTAGCTTAAGGCTAGAGTTCTAGTGTTTGAGTCAAACCTCTACTTCCAGCTTCTTTGCTGGTTAATTGGAGAAAGGAGTCACTCAGACTGTTCTGCCCAGGCTGCTTTCAAAACAGGATCCTCTGATTTCAGTCTCCTAAGCTGGGCTTACAGGAGTAAGCGACCAGTCCCTGTTTGGAAATTTAATTTTTTGTACCAGGATAAAAATGTGAAAGGCATGTGGCTGAAAAGGACAAAGGATCTCTGGGTTTTCTTCTCTCAACATACTCTTCCCCTGGGTCTGGCTCTGTGAGGCTCTGTGACTTTAGTCTTTGTGCTATTTTATTTACTGACTTGTAAAATGTACAATAATACAAATAATTCTCCATAGGAAAACCATTTTTCCATATGGAATAAATGATATTGCTCTGTAGATACTGACCAGTGGTTGCAAATCCATTGAGATGATGGTGGCATCATCTCAATAAAACCTCAGACACATGTGCACTTAATATCTGTATGAGAATTATGATTTGATCCTTCAAAAATATATTCTTTAGCGATTATCTGAACCATCTGATTGGAATACTAAATGAAGGATACTGATTCAAGTCAGCAATGATATTTAAACCAGCTACTGAGCAGTCACCAAGTCTAAGTAATACTCTATAGCACTACCAGACAATTTTCCAGAGTCTGCTGTGTTTTAGTAGTTTCTCCACTTTGTACAAGATGGCAGATACTAAGTAAAGCCAGTGACCCTGACATATGCCTCACTTGATGCAAAGAAAGCCATTTTCAGTTAAAGGCAATTCAGAATTAGCAAGTGAAGGGAAATCTCTGTTCTTTCTCCACTTTTCCTTCAGTGGAGATAACTCTTAAAAATTCCACCAAGGGAACCTGCAAGGAGGGATAAACCACTATATATTTACTTTCAGTTATTTGTTCTGAGGTTGTTGTTTTTTTTTTTTTTTTTACAAAGTTGGTGGGTTTTTTTGTGCTATAGAAGATTCTTTCTTTTGTGTTTTTTTTTTTTGTCGGTCGTGGGGCTTGAACTCTGGGCCTGGGCACTATCCCTCAGCTCTCCAGCTCAAGGCAAGCACTCTACCACTTGAGCTACAGCGCCACTTCCCCAAACCCTATATTCTTAAGTTCATTATGAGCTTAAGTTCATTTAGAATGCTTAACAAGCAGGACCTGTAGGGTTGATATATTAATTAGGTTGTAGTATTTATAATAACAAAACCTGTTTATCTGTAGCTAACGTAGCCAAACAGTTCTTATCTTACATTGGTTCTCCCTTCTGAATCTTTTTACATTTGTTTCCTAAGGACTTTTAACAAGTAAACTAAATGAGAGATGCTAACATTTACTGGCATTTGGCTGTCCTTAGAGAGGAGCTCAACAAGTGGAGCTAACCCCTCCTTGGCATATTTTAAAGATCGTACATTTAAAGTGTTGGTTCATCTGATAATGGAAAACCAATTTCTTTTAGCTTTTCTTTTTTTTTTTTTTCAAAGTTACCTTCTCCAGCAAGTTCTGAAGTGAATCAGAATTCATTATTATATGTAATGTAGCACTTACTGAGGTTGGAAAGACTGTTCAGTCCATGTAGGTTTTAAAAACATCAAAATTCTGGCTGTTTCTGAGTCATGTGTTATCAGGCTACTGTATCCAAATTAAGATGATTTTTGGTAAGCACTGTTGAATCAAATTAATTTGTTCGGTTAGCACTGAAGTCTACGTGTGAAAAAAAATATATTTAAAGAGTACCAATGGTTAGACACTTGAAATGGTTTGAAGAAAGGTCAAATCTGGGACAGAGCCAGGGGAACGTCCGAGGGGGTCCTAGAGTTGGGGTTTCTGGAGCTGGGCATACCGAGTTGGGGCATCCTGAGTTAGGGTGTCTGGAGCATCCTGGGTGGGGACATCAGGGGTTGTAGCATCTTAAGGTTGGGGTGTACCGGGGTTGGTGTGTCTGGGGGGCGTCCCGGGGGTGGGGTGTCCGGGACGTCCCGGGCTGTGGCGTCCGGTCACGTCCTGCACGGCCGCGGCCCCACGATCCCGGCTGCAGGCGCACACGCGGCGGCCGCGACTGGAAGCTGGGGCGCACAGACCACGGCCCCGCCGCCTTCGGCCCGCGCCCCCGGGTCTCCTGGCCGGGACCCCCGCCCCCAGTAGGGGAGAGGCCGGGGGCCGAAGAGCATCAGGGCCCCTCGCTACTAACCTTGCCGCTCTCCCCCGCTAGGGTGGGCTCGAGCTCGCAGCTCTCCCAGCTCGCGCGGGTCTCTGCACCCGAAACCCACTTCACGCATGCGCAAGTGGGCGCGTCGCCGGCATCTCGGATAGTAAGAAACCCAACTTGGGAAGAAATTTCCACTAACCGGTGGGCTGAGAACGGCAGAGGAGCTACGTTATTGGTAGAGTACACGGGGGGCGGGGAGATTGCCATTCTTGGTTCCTATTGGACGATATGGCCGTCAGTCTTCACGCAGCTTCGAGTGGGCGGAGCTGCGTCGCTGGCGGCGGCGAAGCGGCCTTAGCAACGCCAGCGAGCGGTGGACGCCACGGTTGCGGGCACGGTGGGCGGGAAGCCTTGGGCCGGGCGCGCCGGCGGGCGACATGGTGAGTGGGCGCTGGGAGCGGGGCCCAGGTGTTCCCCAGGCGTTCTCCAGACCAGGGAAGGGCATATTTAGTTCATCAAACAGTCTTAAGATTCCTGGAGCGTTATTTCAGGTGAAGACAGAGTGGGTTTCCATTTTCCCCGCTCCCCCACTGCCGTGGTTCAGCTCTTCAACCAGAAGGGAATGGAATTGGAATAAAATGCCCCGAGCCCGTGCTCACGCCTGTCATCCTGGCTATTCACGAGGCTGAGAGCTGAGGATCGCAGTTAAGAGCCAGCCCAGGCAGGAAAATCTGCGAGACTCTTATTTCTAACTAGCAAAAATCCAGAAGAGGAGCTGTGGCTCAAGTAGTGGAGCGCCCAGCCCCCGAGTTCAGACCCCATCGCCCAGGCTCTGAGTTCAAGCCCCGGCACAGGATAAGCAAACACTCCAGAGTTGTTGGGCCCGCGGAGCCCCTTCCCCGATGGGGAGGCGAGGATTCAGGCCATGTCCGGGATGAAGCTGGAGACCAGACACCCAGGAGCAGTCTGCAGAAGAAGCTGAAGAGCCCGGTGGGCTTGCTGGCCAAAAATAGCAGATAACCACGAAAGGGCTTCCATCCTCTACGTATGCGGTGGATTTTGAGTATTGGCTCAATCCATACTCTTACCCTGGAGTTCCACCTAAAAGTGAAATAGCGTGCTAGAAGAGGCTTCTGTGTTCCAATCAAGCACCCCCCCCCTCAACTAAATAAATATTGTGAAACACACAGGCATATATGAACGCAAATGTTCCTTAAAGGAGTGCTTTGTAAATGTATTCTGAGTAAGGCTAATTCCATCCTGACTCAACACCATCCATATACTAAGACATGACCCTTTGCTTTTCTCCCTATCACAAGGCAGTACTTTTTGAACTCAGAGTCTAGTACATGCTGTATGTTACTCCTTTAGCCACACCTAGTCCCTGTTTTGCTTTAGTTATTTCTCCAATAGAGTGATTCACTTTTGCTAAGTGACCTTGAACCTGGATCCTGCTACCTCTGCCTTTGCTGTGGCTGGGTTTACAGGTATGAGCCATCATACCATCATACCCAACTTGTTCTTTGAGATGGAGTCTTGTTTTTTTTTTTTTTTGTTTTGGCCTGTTTTAGCTTTTCCTTGAATTGCTGCCCTCCTTCACTCTGCTTCCCAGACACAGTGCCTAAAAGGCACACATTTCCAGGAATAAGTGGTATTAATACCATCATGGTATTAATAAAAGAACAACTATTAACAAAAGGAATAGGGAGAAACTGTTGAGGTGATTCTATAATAAGAAATAGGATACTTCAGTGTTTATTAGATTTCATGAGTCCACTATTTTCATTGTATGGTTCTCTTTCACCCACATGTGTGTCCATTACAGGCATGCTGTACAAGTTCAGGCCAATGGAAGAAGAAAGCTGCAAAAGTTGAATTGAATGAAACTCAAAAGCAAGAAATTAAAGAGGCTTTTGATTTATTTGATGTTGATGGCTCTGGAACCATAGATGTGAAAGAATTAAAGGTTCTGAAATCATTTCTGATTCTAAGGCATCTAAAAAGCTATGTTATATTCTGTGGGATTGTTTTGGGGAATCAAATTCATGGCCTTTGGCCTGAGTTCTACCACTGAACTATACCCTCCACCTGAGTTTGTGGGATTTTTTAAGTCTAATAGTCTTTCTAAAGATTATATAAAGTCTCTTCAATACATGCATTTGTCATGCATTAAGAAAACAATGTCTTGTTAAACATTTGAATGTATATATGTGTAGGTAAAAGCTCTGGGTATAACATGATATACTCCATGGCATGGCAGGACTGGAACCTTGGCCTGCTAACCTTATTTTCTAGGTTTGTAGCTCAATCTTTGTTAAAAAGTAAAGTAAGCCATGTCTTGGTGGCTCACACCTGTAATTACTCAGGAGGCTAAAGTCCCCTGACACTCTTATCTCCAATAAACTATAGAAAAAACCCAGAAGTGACAGCTATGGCTCAAGTGGTAGAACTCTGGCCTTAAGCAAAAGAAGCTCAGGATCAGCACCCATGTTTTGAGTTCAAGCCCTAGGACCAGAATAAAAAAATAAAAGTAAATGAGTAAGTAAAAGGCTCAGGATGAGATCATGCCATATACATTTCCTTCTGATTTCAGATTGCAATGCGGGCCTTGGGATTTGAGCCAAAGAAAGAAGAAATTAAACATATGATAGCTGAAATTGACACCGAAGGAACTGGCACCATTAGTTTTGAAGATTTTCTTGCTGTTATGAGTGTAAAAATGGTATGGTGATTTTATTTCTCAAAGAAATAACAATCAGTAGCCTCTCCTCTTGGGGACTGGAGCAATGGGAGGTTTCATGGAATAAATGGAAGTAGGTATTTAGGGATGGGTGGGTTTAGATAGGAATAGAGATTAAGATGAAGGAGGGTGTCAGTGTCACAACAGTAATAAAAAGACTGGAGTAGATAAGTAATGAGGCCATATGGAAGGATAGAGAGAACAAGGTAAGAATCTGGAAGCTTTACATTTGACAAGCATACTGAAACCCAGTTTTTGCCAGGCACTCTTCTAAGGAGTCATGAAGCCTATATGTTTGGTTACAGACCTGAAATAAGGGCACATATTCTTTACCATCCTATGCTCCTTTTTTTAAATATTTTTTTTTATTGTAAAGATACTATACAGAGGGTTACAGTTACATGAGTGAGGTAATGAGTACACTTCCTCTTGAACATTGTTACCCCCTCCATTGTTTTCCCCCTACCATCCCCTCCC